TTCATATTAATATATTAGAACTTATAATATATTAATAAATCATAATTATCCTCTTCTCAAAAGTCCATCATTCAAATTGTCCCGGTGAAGTGCAACCCAAATGAACCACGCTACTCTCGGGTCAAGTACATACCAAAAATAGTTATGGACTTATACACCTTATCCAACAATAGTGACGCTAGCTTTCAAAAAGATAGAGACAACTTTTGTTCTTAATCTGGTTGGGTATTTACATTAAATGGTGGAGCAGTTACTTGGAAAAATTCCAAGCAAGACACAGCGGCTGATTCTAAGTGTGAATCAGAGTACATAGCGGCAAGTGAAGCATCGAAGGAAGCGACTTGGTTGAAATACTTTATCAGAGATCTTGGAGTAATTTCATCCATTCAGGAGCCAATGGAACTTTTCTACGATAATGAATGAGTGGTTGCTTTGACTAAAGAACCGACAGATCATGGTAATCAAGACATATCGACAGAAAATACCATTATATCAGACATAGAGTAGAAGAATGTCATCTCGTAGTGAAGAGAGTTTCATCAGAAGGGAATCCTGCAGATCCTCTCACAAAGGCTATATATGAGGAGGATTAAACATAATCAACATGCTAGGAGCAGTGGGTTAAGAGATGATATTAGTTTTAGTAGTTAGATGATTAGGTTGAAACTTGTAACAAAATAAATATAATTGACTTTTGGTGATTAAATAATAGATATTATTTATGAGTTTGTTACTGTTTTGTCAATTATTTATTCTTGTGTTTTGTTTTGCATGTTTTACTTCCCAAATAATTTAATTATTCAAAATTCCACAGTCACTCATACTTTGGGAAGTAAGTAGTGAATTAAGACTGTCATGAATTGGATTGTAGATTGTCTAAGGAGGTTAAACATAGCAATTATATTGCTACAACATTCATGAGTACTTAGAAATGGAGATTTAGGTATTGGATAAACCCACGCTTAAAGAATTACTTCATGGATTATATCACGAGTAATTGTGAGACGATAATATATTATATTCTTGAAACGGAGATATATGAGTTGTAATTTACAAGTCGGTTGTGCATTGGTATTGCGAAACGTGTCAGTAACATGGTGTTATAAAACACAATGTCATGTATAATTTGATGAGTAAAGGATACAATAATATGAGTCAATGTTTATTCGTTCCTTTTCCCCTAATGGGAAAAGTGATATCTTTGGGCCCCTCGGTGATTTGGTTTTGACTTATAGTATTGGTCCCAGCCAGGACTCGATTGATGTATTCAATTTGAAGTCTCATTTCGTCATCACAAATCATGAAATTGGGAAACAAAACTGGACAATGAAATTGATTCTAATCCATGTCTCATGTTTGTATGATATCTAGTAGAACGGAGGAATATGTGATCACTTATCTTATGACCAATGTCCATTAAATTTAGAGTTCGGCAGTTGTTATGGAAACACTATTTGTTGTCTAATTTTTAAGTTATGCTGGTAATTGCAATTATAGACTTATCCAAGTGGTAGACTGTTGGATTAGGTGTATAAGCCAATAACTGAATTAGTACATATTTGAATTATTAGCAAAGTCCTTTTGGGTTGCCCTCAAACCTAATAATTAAATAGGATGACTTTTAGAGAGAGAGAGAGAGAATGATTTATTGATTTATTATATGATGAATAAATAACAATAAATGAATTTATTAATATGTTATCGAAATAATATATTAATTAGAAATTGTATTATTTAATTAATAATTAATTAGAAACTAATTTGAATTAATTTTGGAATTAATTAGATTAATTAAAAATATAGGGGTCTAATAATAATAGTTTAATAGTTGAGCATGAGGTTCCAGAACCTTCCTTGGAAGGGGTGGACGGTTTCTAAGGGTATTCGAGGGCATCTGGAATATTCCTTGCAGATAAATAGGAAGCTGGATAATTATCAATTTGAATTAATATTATTTTATTCAAATTAGGGTTATCTAGGGTTTTCTAACTCAACTATATAAAGACCCCAGTGACTTCAATTTTTCGGCCACTCCTCCTTTCCTAGAGATAGCCGAAAAATTCCATCTCCCCTTTCCTTTCTCTTAAGCCTCCTTGTTGCTAGGGTTGAGTGTGAACCATCAGAGGCACGAGATTTCTGGTGCTAGTTTCCGAGCAACTACAAGAATGATTTTTTTGATTGTTTACTACAACAATCAAAATATATGTTTTTCTTCTATGATTTTCGAAATTACCTAGGGTTATAGGTTTCTTGTTGTTCAATACAATGTTATTTCAATAGAGTTATAACCAGATCCAATAGGTTGCATGTACCTTTAAGAGTATAAATATTTATCTACATTATTGTATGTAAAACCCATCAAAGCTAAGGATTCATGTGGATAACTTATTCTTTGCAGGGGAGGGAACTAGTTAGAGTCTGGGTGACTTTCATTGAGTTCGTTATGCTTCGCGTATCATTATTTATTAATGTTGTTGTAAATGTCAAAAATTGTTTTTATAGTGTTTTTTGTAAGTTTGTGAATTCACATGTTTATGTTGTGTGATTATTGATCGACTAGATCTGTTGTTGCGATCCAACATGTATCAGAAAGGGTTTCTGCGACTTAAAGAGTAAGGATTTTCTTGTCGATTTAGTTATTTTTTTCAATTTTAATGATTTTAAATTGTAAAAAAGGATTGTTAAATGTTAAAAATTATAAAAAAAAAAATGTTTTGGATACATATGATAATAAAAAAGATTGACAAACACAGTATTTAATATTTAGTAAAGAATATAAGAAATTCGCCTAATATAACCAATAGGATTTTAAAGGTAAATAACCGATCCACAGCACATCCAACCACACTACATAACGTGGCACACAACTAAGCAGATTACGGCCATCATCACTAAAACGACAAAACAGACTCTATTCATCGATCATCGAATCAGGTTGCTGAGATGATTAATACCGGCGGTAATCGGAATTTCAACGGCGGACGTCAACAAACGAGCAAAATTTACAAAAACTATAACCTCATCCATTTCTATAAAATGGTTTCAGACTTTTAGTCCAATCGTACATCACATGTCTACCCTTCATTTACCTTTTTCTTAATCGGCTGGATACTTGGATTGTTCTTCTTGGCCACGATTTAGATTGATGCATCTTCAAGAACAAAAGTTTTCCGATCGAAAGTCGGTGCCATATCTAAGACTCTTATTGCAACGGTTGTCATTGTGAAGGAGCTGGTAACTCTGGCTTGAATTCTGACATGCATAACGCAGGAGGTTTCCGCTGGATCTTTCGTAGCGGAATGGAAGTTTTCCCTGTGGTTTTAACATCTGCTCGCCGTAATGATTCGTCGTTGCCATAGGAAATCTCGTGAGTGAATTGGAATCGGACGACGGAGAAGAACTCTCGAGACCGGTTGTGGTGGACGGAGAAGAGGCGGTTGAACTAGTCGGGGAGGATTTCTTCTGTAGTGAGAGAAACGCTCTGATTTTGAGATTCGATGATGATTGTAGTTTAGCTACTCGATCATATTCCTCTATGAGATTAACGAGATCCTCGTCGGATATAATTGACACAAGCGCGTCTAAATCCTCCGTCGGCAGTTGACACCTCAGAGCCACCGGCATCGACGTCCCGCTAAGTTCACCGAGTTTCACCACCAATTCTGTAAGTAAAAAAAGAAAATCTCATTAATTACATATCCTTGTTACACACACTACGACATCTACGGAAATCGTTCCAATTCAATCAGCAAAAGCACTAGAAGGGTGGGTAAACTTACCGGAGAAAGAGAGGTAGCGGTCAACGGCGAGGACACGAGTCTCTCCGCCGTGGTAACGGAGTTTGCCGTCGGGGTAACGAGGGAGGATCTTTCCGCCGTAGCTGCAAAGAAATTTGATGTTTGCGGTGGTAGGGTGTTCAAGATTACTGAGAGAAGGTCCTGCCATTGAAAGAGGAAAGAGGAAAGAGGAAAGAGCAGTGTAGAAGACTGAAAGGGACTCTTTGTTGGCTTCTTGAATCTTCAATTGTGTATGTGGCGCCATTAGTACCTGATTTATAGGGCTTTCAGGAAGCTGCAGTCGACTATCTTTAAGGTTCCAATAGGGGTGGAATGTTGTTTATGTGGGGTATGTTTTGGGTCCGTTCGGAATTAACTTATAACTTAATGCTCACTCCTTCGATTCCTTTTCACACCTTATGAAACTCCAGGAAAAGATCTTAATTTGAAGATGTCGACGTCCAAATGAGAATCAAACATAAAATATCCAAAACTCTTAAAAACATCAAGGAACATGGTATACAATATGCATATGGTTAAAAGGTGTTAAATCCTACACCCAACTACTATTATACTCTTTAAAGCAATGTAATATTTATATCATATGTTAGACCATCATCAACCCATAATATTCTTATTTTTTTTATATAAGAAATCAATATAAAATTGGTGTAATGAGTGATTCATATAAAACTTATCACATCATTTTCTATACCTAAAAATATATCATTACTATATTTCTTTTATCTTTTTGTAACGTATACAAAATCTCAAAAACACAATTTGTATTTATGTACTATGTTATCATGTTTTATATCATTAAAAGGTAGCAAGTTTTTTAATATCGATAAAAACATATAATATAATATTATAAAAAATATGGGAAAATTCACTGATGGCTAAATTTGACAAAATTTGACACGACACGACAACCCGACTCGAAATTGGCGGGTTTAGGTAAGAGATTTCAACACGTTTAAGTAAACGGGTTGACACGACACACACGAAAATTAAATTGGTTGGGTTAGGACCAAGACTTTCAACTCGAAGATGACTCGAATATGATCCGTTTAATTATATATCAATTTTTATAAATTTTAGATTTTTATAAATATATTATATATTATATACTTGTAGTAGACCAAACTCAAGAATTAAAATTAAATACAAACTTTTAAAGTAATTTAATTTAATCATCCTCACCATTTATCCCTTTTGTTCCTCAACTCTAACTCTTTTCATTTTGTCTTCTAAATTTATTATAAATTTTGTCATTCCACCTCCCAACTCTAGTGTTTCACTTTTTCAATTTCACATTCTGGTCTCCTACTTTCCAACTTTTAAAATGTTTAAACTCAACATGACACAACATATTTACAAGGTCTAAACCTTAACTCAAAACGCGACTCAAAATTAGACGAAAATAATCGGGTTGACACGACATAACACGATAATTAAACGGGTCGGGTTAGGACCAATCCCTCTCAAACCATTTAATGTATTGACACGACACAACACGAACCAACACGACATGATACGTTTGTCAGGTCTATTGTTGGCGATGTAGTTAGTAAGAACAATCATCTTTCACCAAATCTCATCAATTTCATTTTCATGGTTGTCCCTTGATGATGAGCGAGGTGACCAGGTGGTATAAGAAAAACAAGGAAAAAAAGGCAAATGCCACAAAAGTCATTATATATACAACTTTGTTCTGTTTTAGCCCAAACTTTTTTTTGTTCCTCATATGTTATAATATTTCAAAAACTTTTCATTTTTGGATCATTGGTCGATCACCAACAAGTTATGATGACGTGTATGTTTGGCTGACATGATTTTTTTCTCTGTTTGCATTTAGTCCCAATATTTATGCCTAGGTTTGCGTTTAGCCCCAACATTTTGTTTGTTCCACACTTGCCATTATTTTTTGGAAATTTTTTCATGTTAACCTTTGGCTAGTCACCAATAGATATTTTAAAACTTAATAAGTTAAAATGAAAAGGAACAAGCACTAAAGGCACATGTTGATATGATATTTGTTGGGACGTCACAAGTTGATGATATAAGTTGATAGTGTCACAAGTTGACACGATACGAGTTAATAGTGTCACAGGTTGGCACAATACATTATATGTTGGTATAATGATTAGTTGTTTTCACAGGTTGACAGTATAATAACAAAATCCTTAGAGTGAAAACAAGATGACATTCTTGTAGTGATTATTGAATAGTGACTAAAATGTTATATTTGAGCAGAGAAAAAGTTGATGTTATGTTGGAATGTGATATGTAATAGTACGACATGTTGAGTGTCTAGTTGATACCTAATTGCACGACTTGTTGAGTGTCTAGTCAATACCTAATTATGCGACTTGCTGAGTGTCTAGTTGATATGTAATGGTACGACATGTTGAGTGCCTAGTCGATACCTACTTGTGCGACCTGTTGAGTGTTTAGTCTGTATCTGATTGTGCTAATTGATGAGTGTCTAGTCAATATTTTTAGTGTAAAGTTATTCATAAACAAGTGTTTGTTCTATCTGTTGAGCGTTTAGTTGATACCAATGTGAAGAACTTACTGAGTATTTGATCCATATTTATTGGTGTTGAGAACCATAGTGGATGTGATGAAATTCGAGAATTTGTGGTGTATTAAGTTGATATATGTGTTGAAATATGGAAATATTGTGTACACCGAGATGATATTCGGTAGTAAATACTTATGTGAACTGCGAGTGATATACCCAATTAAGTGATCGTGGGTATCTGGCTATTGATGTTGGTGATATAGTCGTGACTGGAGGATGAGTCGTAAGTCGGGTAGCAGGTGATTGTTGTGAAGTGCTAATAGAAATAGCCAATTCTAAATAAGTATTAAGTGAGTACAACTTGTTATAAAGAGAGTGAAAGTGATAGATGAGTTATAACTAAGTGGAGATAGCTAAGTATAGTATATGAGTTTCTATCCTCATTGTGTGTGATTTTCTGCATTCTAAATTCCTCACAAGTAATATTGATTCATTGTGAGACTCGAGAAAAGTGTTAATGATCAGAAGAAAAGTGAAAGTGAGATATGAAATCTTGATAGCAAACCATCACCCATCTGGTGTTAGAATAGGTTGTTATTGTTGATATATGTTCTTATTGTAAAAGCGTTATGTTGAATTGTGATAACACAATGCATAGTGGTGCATTTTACGCAATTGAAGTGATTGATGTGGTTAGATAGTTCTTCTTGAGACGACCATGAGTTAGAAAAACTATTGAATTATAGTAGGGGATTCCAGGAGATACCGAGGATGGAATCTCTTGAAGGGGGGAAGAATTTGTAAGACCTGTTTTCTAAACATGCACTACCCTCAGAGTTATAGATCGTTATGAGATGAACATATGAGATTAAGACTTGTGATTTTTTAAATTAATGAATTTTATTTAACGCAAAATAGTTGAGAAATGTTGTAGTTCGTGTGATGAGGATTCTGTGGATATAAAGTTTGCTGAAAACGGAGTCCGTATGAGAAAATTATGGCTATTTGAAGTTGAGATGAAAGTAGGTTATTATTTTAAGAAAGTCAACAAAAGTCAAATTCAATGGTCAACTTTGGACCATCATGACGTGAAATTATGTTTGTCACGACGAGACAATAGGTTTTCACGATGTTAAATGTGATGAGTCGGCGAGACACGTGGCTGGATAGTGTGACACGTGGCGAGAACAAGGTTTAACAGGTTGTCACGATGTGACACCTATATGGTCGCAACATGACTAACGCAGATTATAAATATATGAGTTTTTGGTGTCTTTTGGAGGATTTTGGCACAATGATCAGAGATGATACCGGGGAGCCGTTTACGAGACATTATATCAGAAGAGTTATACCGATATACGTGAGATACATGATGAGTTACGAGATCGTGGAGGTATTGGCATATAACGAATTGGAAAGCAGATTAGGTCAAGGACCGAAGTTGATATGTCTTCCAATTAACCAGGTGAGCAACACTACTCTAACACATGTTGTTTGCGATAATTGTATGTTACAATAAGTAAGTTATATTATTGTGTGAATGATTGAATATCATATTGTTGATATTGTGATGTCATAGAGATACATATGTACCATAGGATGGTATATTTATACGTGCAATTGAAACAAATGAGAAAGTGGTGATGTTGATGTGTCATGGGCTGACACTGTGTTATACGGAGACGTGTCACGGGATGATACGATGTTATTCGTTGATGTGTCACGGGCTGACACTGTGTTATAAGTTGACGTGTCATGGGCTGACACGATGTTATTCGTTTATGTGTCACAGGCTGACATCGTTGTTATTCGTTGATTCACGAGATGACATTGTTGATATTTGTTGATATGTTACGAGCTGATGAGACGATCTTCGTGGCTAATGATGGGTAACAGTTTGTAGTTTACCTATGAAGTTATGTTAATACTCTGTTAGATCTCTTAAAGGAGATTCGTGATTTTAGTTACAGATGTGATTACACTGTTTGCTTGAATTATGTGTTATTTGTGTAGTTATATGATTTATGTTATTGTAGTTGTAATTCACTAACTCATGTGGCTTACGATGTTTGTTATGTGTTTGTTTTGCAGGTTCGATGTTGTAGTGCCCGGCTCGGATCTTGTACGTGTGGCCAGTACGATCCCTGGTGATAGCTTCTTGTGCTCTAGAGTACCAGTATACACCAAAATGTCTAAAATTTATTTTTATAATTTTTTTTCTTGGGGTGTACCTAGTGTGAAAATTTGGGCGTTACAAGACGTTTGGTAATTTCTCATCCGACCAGGATAAAAGATCCCATTGAAGCGGCTGATCACATGCATATTGTACGTACATCTGGTTTCACAAATTGCATAGTATCATAAAGAGCCACCCTCGGTATTACCAATTCGCCAAGAGAGTTTATAAAGAAATATAGATCGTTGGTATCATCCTCGATATTGCGATTATATCATAAGATCAATAAGTTGATTCGAAATCTCGCTATCAACCTCTTGGCCTAATAAATGCTCTTCAACCTGTTAGTAATGATTTTTCCTTATAGATGACGTTGCAAAGACTGATAGGGAGAAAAACTCTGATGGTCGGAGCCTTAGGAATAAGAACAATTTGTGCGGCATATACTTGTCTTACAACATTAGGATCAAGAAAGAGGATTTCAACATGGTCCACTAGCTTTGAAAAAAAGGATTCAATCGGTTGGTGTTCTGGAGCGGGGACAACAATGCTATATATTCACCTATTCTAAGGATATATTAGAGCATGAGAACCATTTTCTAAAATGGATCTAAAAGGGTCCTATCTGTTAGTTTCCAA